TCGCCATCCCAGGTGTAGGCTCTCCTGCTTTGGTGGAGGGTTGGACTAGATGTCCTACAAGGTCCCTTCCAACTCTGTTAATTTGTAATCTGTAAAAGTCCAGTTGCCTTTTGGAAAAAGTAGCTTGGCATGGGTTTACATTGGGAAGACAAAGCATACACGTCAAACCAATAAGTTAAGATATGGGAGCTATTTCTCGGGGGTGAATTCCTTCCCCTCGGTGGCTTTACTCACAATGCTAAAATACAGTGATAATTGTGTTTCAAAGTGCTGTGGCAGATGCTCCAATGCGTATGATTTACGATTAGAAATATTATCATCCGAGAAATTAGATGACCCTTGTAACGACTTGCTCAAAATCGTTATTTTTAAAAGCTGATCCTCGCCCAGATAAATTAAAATAATTTATTTTCATTTAACTCGTTACCTTGGCTCATTTTCACTTAGAATTTCCTGAATGTTAATCGCTTTTACAGCTACAGGAATAACTATTGTGGCTCTCTTTTCTTTATTATAATGAGATTAAGTTTTTTTTAAAAAAAAAAATATTATAGAAGCTATTGTCGTGCACATTACCCTATATTTCATCCAGTTAAAGGGAATTTTCCTAGTTTTATTTCATGCTCCTCTTTTATGGTATCAGGCCTTTGAGAATAGTTCCTGTGGAGAACTTCATAAGGTTATTCTGGATTGTATTTTTTATTATTATTATTATTTTATTATTTTGCAAATTTATATGCCGGCCATCTCACTATTGAGGAATGCTGGGCTCACTGATTGATGATTGATGGTTTTCTTTGGCGAAATTTTTCGCCAAAGTGGAGATGAGGGTCGAGCCAAGTGAAGTCTGCTTTCCATGTCTTCTGGAGGTGTGTGGTGAGATAAGGAGCAGAAGAACTTTGCATGCATAATAGTTCTTTGGTTGATTTGAAGGCTAAAAACTAAGTGCTGGAATAAGACTCAGACATTGTAGTCTATTTACAGGTATTGAAAGGAGATTGGAACCATTGGTAGGATTCAGCCGGTTCGGGCCAGTTCAGGCGAACCGGTAGTTAAATTGCTGGCTGGCCTTGCCCCTTCCCGCCCCTTCCAGGAGTCCCCACATGCCTCATTTTGGCTCCCAGGTAAGTGCAGGGAGGCCTACTAGGCCCAAAACGGGATGCAGGGGTGTGCGTGTGCGGCCCGCCCCCCTGCGGTCTGTTTTTGCTCCCAGGACGCTTCAGGGAGGCCTACTAGGCCCAAAACGGGACTTGGGGGGGCATCCCCCTGCGTCCCGTTTTTGCTCCCAGGGGGTGCAGGAGGCCGAGTGCTGCCTGTCACACCCCCTGGCCATGCCCATCGTGGTCAGCTGGTCATTAGGGCAGAGAACCGGTTGCTAAATTATTTGAATCCTACGACTGATTGGAACTAAAGTTGGACTTGATGTCAAAACCCAATGAGTTCTAGGTTGCTTCTCTTCTGGATTAGTTTCCATCCATGCTTCTTGTCCTGCTCTCAGGTGTTTTGGAGAATAGCTTGACTCCCTCTTCTTTGTGGCTGCCCTTTAGATATCGGACACTGCTATCATGTCACCCCAGTCCTTCTTTTCATTAAACTAGACATACCCAGTTCCTGCCACCCTTCTTTAGCCATTTTAGTCTCTAATCATCTTTGTTGCTCTTCACTCTTTCTACAGTCTCAACATCTTTTTTACATTGTGGCGACTAAAACTGGATGCAATATTCTAAGTGTTGTCTTACCAGGGCATTATAAAATGGTAAAACTGAGTGTCAGTAACAGAATAAAGGTGAATTTTTATAGATAGTGGAAGTCTTAGGATTGTATGAGGGTTATGATTGAATATTTTTATGGGTATCAGGTTTAGGTTAGGGTTAAGATGAAATCTCATTAAGATGTGGGTTTTCCAATGAATTTTTATTGACAGTGGAGATCTTTGGAATGAAATTGGAATGGAATGTTGGGCTGGTTAAGGGAGAGATTTTATTTTTTATTTTTTTAAATTTTTTTAAAATTTGATTTATATGCCGCCCTTCTCTGGAGACTCAGGGCGGCTTACAGTGCATTAAGCAATAGCCTTCATACTTTTGTATATTTATATAGTCAGCTTATTGCCCCCACAAACTGGGTCCTCAATTTACCTACCTTAGAAAGGATGGAAGGCTGAGTCAACCTTGAGCCTGGCATATGCATTTTATGCATATATGGTTGACATTGGAGATGGATTTCCTTGAAATTTGGGCTAAATATGTGAGAGTCGATATCAAGATGGATTTTTCTAAGTATTGGAATTTTTGTGGTTTTATTGTGGTTGAGGCTGAGATGGGAGATGCGACAAACCATGTTATGGGCGTTGCCTTGAAGTTAGGGTTAGGGTTTCCTAAACCTTATCTCAACCAAAGCCTTCTTTTGGGTGGAAACCTGACCATAATGTGGACCTTGGCTACTGCTATATATAAGAATTCAGATTAACAGACTAACAAGAGTTGGAAGGGACCTTGTAGGTCTTCTAGTCCAACCCCCCACCCAAGCAGGAGATGAGACCCTGTACCATGAGTTGGCAACCCGCAGCTCTGGAGCCGCATGTGGCTCTTTCATCCCTCTGCTGCGGCTCCCTGTCAACAGTCGGCTCCACAATTGATAGGACTTTCGGTTAGGACGTAGAGGAAAAAGGACACTGAGCTAGGAGGAGACTCTATGGTAGGGGAACTGGACTTCCGGTCGGCTCCAGAATTGAATGAGGGGCTTCTGGTTAGGACCTTTGTGGCTCTTAAGGTTGCTGACCCCTGCCCTACACCATTTCTGACAGATGGCAGTCCAGGTTCTTCTTGAAAGCTTCCAGTGATGAAGCTCCCACAACTTCTGAAGGCAACTTCTGTTCCATTGGTTGATTGTTCTCACTGTCATTCTGGTTCTAGCTATCATGATAAAGGGTTTTTTGATGTCCATGTTTGTCCTAACATTCTGGCAGTTACTTAGGTAGAACAGAAAAACTGTGATGTTTTCATTGGCTCAGCATGTCTTGTTCACCTGAAAAATTCTTCTTCTTCTGCCTGCATCGTATTAATCACGATTATTTATTCATCACATACCATGATCATGTGTAAAAAAAAAAATAGAAGGGTCTACCATTCAAATATGCTCTTGCTAGTAGACTTTTCATACCTTTCATGGACATGCATTTTATCTATATGTAGTTTTGGGATTTTGAATGGTTATATTAATTCTGGATTGGATATTGTTTAATGCAGGATAAAGGATTGCAATGTAATCTGGATTTCTTTTGAGGTTGTGAAACCTGAGTAGCAAACAGAGGTAGCAAATAGAATAGGACAGACATGGCTGGCTAAATTCAAGAGAACAATCAACCAGTGGAGCAGAAGTTGCCTTCAGAAGTTGTGGGAGCTTCATCACTGGAGGCTTTCAAGAAGAGATTGGACTGCCATTTGTCAGAAATGGTGTAGAGTTTCCTGCTTGGGCAGTGTGGGTGGGTTGGACTAGATGACCTACAAGGTCCCTTCCAACTCTGTTAATCTGTAATCTGCCTGTTGATCCCCGTTCAAGGACACGTTAAAAGGCCATCTCTCAACTCAGCTACACTCGACAACTCTGACCCAGTCTTCACTCTCAATGGTTCTGTGAGAAGTTACTGAGAGCAGTGTCCACTTCAGATGCTTACAGAAGAAATGGATTATTGGATCCCTTTCAGTCAAGATTCAAATCAGGGGATGGTATCAGTGGTGAAATGTAAAATTTGTTACTACCGGTTCTGTGGGCGTGGCTTGGTGGTGGGGGTAATGTGACTGAGTGGGCATGGCCAACTGTTTTTTCTTTTAAAACCATTTTTTCTACAACCTCGAGGTTGTAAAAAAAATGCTTTTAAAAGCCTCCGACAATCCCAGCTGAGTTGCCTGATCATCAGAGGCTATTTTTTCTTTTAAAACCATTTTTTCTACAACCTTTTCGGCTGAAGAGGTTGCAGAAAAAATGCTTTTAAAAGCCTCTGAGATCCCAGCTGAGCTGCACGATCATCAGAGGCTTTTTAAAAAACTTTAAAAAGCATTTTTTCAGCTGAAGAGGTTGTAGAAAAAATGCTTTTAAAAGTAAAAATAAAATCTGATGAGGTGGGCGGGTAAGTGAGCGGCGACCGGGCCGGGGACTGGTTCGGGGGCGTGGCCAGCCAATGTTATTACTGGTTCTCTGAACTACTAAAAATTTTTACTACCGGTTCTTGCGAACCGGTGCGAACCAGGAGCAACTCACCACTGTCTTATACCTAGTATTCTATGTTCTAAATAAATTTAAAGATCTTTTATAGGAATAGCATCCATTTTTCTTTTTTGCATGCTTTTGTCCTATTTTATTGATGAACATCTAATACTTCAGATGTCATTCTACTCCAGACAGGCCCTCTTAAAGGATATTCATGAACGTCTTGCATGGAAACCACAAGCTGGGATATTTGTAAGCACTTCTAGTCAAAGAAGAAGAATAGTTTTGAATATTTCCCAGCCAGACTGGGAAATCGCCACATCATTTTCCACCCGACCCTCCAATCGACAGCTGTAAAAGCTAAAATATGCAGCTCTGGGTTTACACTCTTGGCCAGTTTCACATGCTGAGTTAGGTCATTTCTACCTAGCATTCGGAAGGTGGAAACCACCTCAAAAAAATAAATTAAAAAAAAAATCTGGAAAGTTGCAAAATTATCTTGACAAGGCAGGAATGACAAACCACCTTCACCTTTGCCATATGCAATACTCATTTCTATTAAACCAGACGCCTGAAGGTTCTCGGGAATGGCCAGCAAGGGTGTCCCCTTCTTGGACTTCAAATCAAATAAGATTTCTTTTTCGTTGTTTCTAGCGGTTCTAATTTGTAAGCTTCTTTGGGTTGCTTAGTGTTTCTGAAGAGCCAGCAGCTTCCAAAGAATGTTTTGTCGCTTAGGTCATTGTGTTCCACAAATAAACGTCTGGTGGTTACTATAGGGACAAAAAGGACTTAGAAAGAAAGCAGAGAAGGAAGAAGGAAGGACGGATTAGAAAGAAGGCAGAGAAGGAAGAAGGAGGAAGGGAGGAAGGATTAGAAGATAAAAGGAAGGAAACTTTAGAAAGAGGGCAGAGAAGGAAGAAAGAGGGAGGGGGCCTGTAGGGGCGCGATGGCTCAGCAATTAAAGATGCTGACAGCCCGGGTTCGAGCCTCGAGTTCCACGCAACAGGCTGAGCTCCCGTTCCTTGCTCCAGCTCCTGCCCACCTAGCAGTTCAAAAGCATGGAAATGCAAGTAGATAAATAGGTACCACTTCGGTGGGAAGATAAGTGTGTTCCATGTACCTCGGTGTTTAGCCATGATGGCCACTTGACCATAGAAGCATCTTTGGACAATGCTGGCTCCCTTGGCTAAGAAACACAAAGGAGAACTGCCCTCTAGAGCCAGACATGATTGGACAAGGGAAACCTTTACCTTCGTAAGTCCTGTATAGGCGATGTCAATATGAGATCGTAGACATTAATTTACATGGCCATGGCGTGTGATGCTGTGTTGACGTGTTGATATGACACAATTCCACCCTGCCGCTGTTTCTTTGTCTAGGCCACTGGCAAGGGTGTCTGAAGGCCCCTTTATCCTGGTATGAATGTTTTGCTCCTGTCTGGTTTGCCGGTTTTTATTCCTTGTTCTGGTTTTATTATTTTATTGTTTTATTCCTTTTAACGTTGCTTACTTGTGAGCCACTCAGAACCATTGGGAGTTGGGTGGTATACAAACGTAAATGATGATTATGATGACCATCATGTGCATTTTAGGATTAAACTGGTTTCATGGAGAGTTCTTTAACCAGATGTGTTGAACAGAGGTCTCTAAATACCACAAGGATATTATCTATTTTTAACCAAGTTGTGGAACTGTGCCTTGATCTCCAAAGTGACTTTGTTCTGCAGAGACCTTGGTGCAGAGCTTGGTTATTGTCTTGCAGATGTTTCGTAACCCAACTAGGTAACATCATCAGTGACAGAAGGGAGTGGGGTTTTCTCCCTGTTTCTATACAAGTGGCTTGCCCTGTCTGTGTTGGATCTTGGAAACAACATTCTTCTTTTTCCCATTCACACTGACATGGCAAGCTACTTATATATAAACAAAGAGCAAACCTCACTCCCTTCTAGCATTGATGATGTTACCTAGTTGGGTAATGAAACGTCTGCAAGCTCAGAGAGCACCAAGGACTCCACAGTTCGGTTCCAAGCTACAAATATTCTTTTTTTTAAAAACTGGTATAACTTTGTTCCTTAGAAGTAAATCCTGCAGAAAATGTCATTTAAAGTGAGAAACCATTCCTGGACTATAACTCGATTTGAAACCCTATCCAATAAATGTTAAAAAAAAACCAACGACGTAAAGAGTTCATACCTCAGTTTCACGAGACGCTTAAAAGTCGAACAGATTCTGCTTTGGCTCAACCTGTGGTAGCTTATCATTTCATGTGGCAATTTATACTGCGTTGACCGTGGTTCCTGATATTTATTCTTGCTTAAAGCTGAATAGTGGATGTGTAGCCATTCAAAACAATATGTGACATTCAATAATTCATAAATTACTAATAATATACCGGAAAATTATAAGTGAGGGGAAGTCACGGCGAGGAAACAAGTGATTTATGTTAAGTGTTTTATCGCAAAGAAAGGTAATGTGTCCTTGCCAACACGAGTATTTGGAGCGTGTTGGGGCTTTGCTCGAATGCCTACATCATCTCTTTGTATGTATTAAAAGTACCTTTACATGTGAACCTGTTGATCAAAGCAGGTGGTTTGAAAGGTTTGAAACAGGTTTGAAAGAGTTGTCTCTTTCTTTCTTTCTTTCTTTCTCATTGTATGTCCTTAAAAGCTCCCCACCCCCACGGTTCATTTGTCAGACTTCAACAACAATCCCAGATTGTGAGACTTGTTCAAAAGAAAGGTTGGGGGGGGAAATAGAGAAAATGGAAAAAGACCGTTATTGTTACTGATTATTTCTGTGTCTTTTTGTTTTTGTTTTTCAGGCGATGTGAGCCCAGTCAACAGCTGTGTGGTTCCAACTATAATTTGCACAGAGTCTACACCAGAAGAATTTTCCAGCATGTAATCTACAGTAATACACAAGACAACAATTCAGACACATAATAAGTTTATTATGGTATATGGCAAACATCAGACACTTTTAACTGTTCTCTGGTGTCCAAAAAAATGGCTTCATATTTAGTAAGAAAAATAATCTTTCTACTTAATATAGCCTTTACATTGTAAAAGGAACAGGTTTTAATTAAACAATCTTGGCTTTCAAGAAATTGTTGCTTGTGCCCTCAGAAATGTACCCTACTCCTCTCTTGTAAAGGCCGTGCTCACCCCAGTTCCACGGAATAGATTAAAACGTACCGTACAAAAATAAATAATTAAAATAAATAAATAAATAAACACACAAATAAACACGCAAACAAAGGAAATCAAAACAAACAAACAAATATTTGGCATGGCAGAACTTTTTTTTTTAAAGATCTTTTTGCATCCCCTTTTCAGTTTTTAACAAAAATAAAGCACAACCCCTAAAAACTCTTTTAACCCATCATCAGGTTTTTTTTTTTTTACAGACAGACAGAACCCTTTCACTAGCTTCATTTAAGAAATCACGTACTTAGCAGATATAACACACACCCAATATTTTAGTTCCTGATAGCAAGTGCATAGATTTTGTTAACATGGTTGTTCCCCACTTTTAGAGCATGTTTCATGATCAAAAGATGGGAGTTCCAGTGATTGTGCTAGAGCATTTGAGAAAAAGAGAGGACAGAGGAAAAAAAAAAAGGGGGGGGGGTTTACAGAGAGAAGAAAAGGGCCAAAGAAGAAATTGAGAAGGGGGAAGAGGAGGAGAAGGAGGAAGAGGAAGAGGGGGAGAAAGAGGAGAAGGAAAAGGAAGAAGAGGAAGAAGAAGAAAAAAAAGAAGAAGAGAGGAGGAGAAACAAACAGGACACAGCAAAATAGTGAAATTACAACAGGAGATGAAGGACGAAACGAACCAGCAGTACAGTCGATTCCTGATAAGTGAATAACCTGATTGTTTGATCACAATGCTTTATTCACTTATCAGGAATGAAACACAGTACACCTTTTTGGCTTGGATCGCCTAATGCCTGGAGACAGCCAGATTGGGATTATTTTTCCTTTTTCTTTTAAAAAGTAATAATTGCTCTAGAACAGATATACATAATTTCGGGGAGGGGAGGGGTGGGTCTAAACACGCCATGGCTTTGGTCCTTGTCAATGTCACAATGGGTGCTTCCCATTGCACCAGGGAGTGAGGGTAGGAATAAGAGTCAAAACGGTGGGCCTGACTGGACTTTTGAAGCTCCTGCCTGTTTCTTTCTTTCTTTCTTTTTTAAACATGAGATTCCTTCAAAAGAAGGAGTGGGGCTTTGATCACACAGTGGCAGCCACCTTCTTGACCCCACATATGGGCTGCAGCCTGTAGGACATCTAACCAGATTGAAAGCACTGATGAAAATACACCACTGTCTACAGTAAGCCTCTAGTACCATTACTATGAATGGAATGGCTGATTTCTTGACGAAAGTAAGGACCTTGGGGGGTGGGGGTAGGGGGACTGAATTATCCAGTTCTCAGAGGAACTTTGAGGAGGGTAGAGCATTCCTTGTTTTCCTGTCATAGAGTAGCCGTACTGAAAAACTAACACCTGGATTTTGAAGGTATGGATGGATAGGCGCCTATGCGTTGATATGCGTAGACGGGCTCCTATTCAAGGTAGAAAAAGTATCATCTCAAGAGGATTCCTCAACAGGGAGTAGCAAGAAAAGGAGATGACCATCTCCAAAAGTGGCTACAGAGACACACCAAGTGTGGCTTATAAGAAACAACTGAAAGAAGGCCCCGGACCTGCCAGTTCCTCAGCAGTTTACCAGCTCCATTATTTCCTCAAATTTTGGAATCCAAAAGCAAATGGCTGATGCGTAGGAATGCTTCAGATCCCCCCACCTCCATTTTCTCCAAGTCATTTCACAGATGGTTGTTGTTTTTTCCCAGCTGACCTTCCAACTAAGGACAAACCCACCTCTAGTCATCTGCAGGATCAAACGGGTGCTGTTTCTCTCGTACTGGCACATACATTTAGGTGCAAACAGTTGCTAATATTATATGTTCTTCTAACCTCTACTTTGAAAGACTAGGCCTGCATAATTTGAAGCCCAGCCTCCAACCTAACCAGGGCTCAGGAAAATGTCCTATGTTGTCTAGGTCTGGAGAACAAGATTGTCAACCAACAGAAAAGCCATCAACACACAGAGGCTGTGTTGCATTCGGGTTGTTGGATCACAGGTCTTTTGTAGACAACTAAGCCATCTTGCCTAACCAGATGCTCTTCAGATACGGTGGAACAATATCCCACAGAATTTCCAAATCCCTCGCTGAGACATATGGGGGATGTAGTTTCAGAACTATTGGAAGATGTCAATTATGGAAGCTGGCTTGTTTGTCCTGCAATTTTTCACATTGCAACACTGAGAGCCTATGCACCAAAGACAAATTCCTTGTGTGTCCAATCACACTTGGCCAATAAAGAATTCTATTCTATTCTATTCTATTCTATTCTATTCTATTCTATTCTATTCTATTCTATTCTATTCTATTCTATTCTATTCTATTCTATTCTTCTATTCTATTCTAATTCTAATTCTAATTCTAATTCTAATTCTTCTCATCCAGAGATGTTTGTTATTTATCCTGTCTGCTTTTCACATCTATGATTTTTCAGCGCCGGTTTGTCCAACTAGCTCAGAGATAATCTATTTCTTTCTTTTTTTTCAGAATCTTTATCCTGGAATGACAAAGATGAGGTATACAATTATAGCGTAAATATATAGACTTAAATGCTATTTGGCAGCCAATGAAGTTTTTATGTATCTGAATGAAAGAAGAGGCTCCTAACTTCGCTGAGAATTCTTACTTGCCATTTTCTGCTTCACCACTGAATGTACAAAAAAAAAACCCTGATTTGAATAATTTTTAATGCTAGGCTAATTCAGGGTCTAAACTGGTTGACAGAGAGGTATATTTCACAACCATTGATGTGCATCTGAAAGAAATAAATGGCATGACCATGGGAACTGAGCCACTGAAATGGGAATTGCACCCAGGTTCCCCTTGGGGAGATGGGCTTCTACTTAAACCACATTGATTTCAATCATGCTGTTTTTTTAAAAATGGTCCTACAATTAGTCAGTTGAAAATGTATATCCAGATAAGCTTTGATTCCATTTTTTTTAAAGCTTGCATTTTTTTACACTGAAATAAGTGATTGTCATCATGTGTCACAATTAAGGCTCCTATTATCTCCTGGGAAGATGGTACCATCTTTCCAATGGTTTCAAGAGAATTTTATTTATTTTTTTTGTGACATCACAGGCACCCTGTTACCTCATCAGTTATGGTCCTATTGTGCAGCTAAACTGTTGAGGTAATCGGAAAACAGAAAGAGAGGTTGGGATTTTAGGGGGCAGGCACCGAGGAAGCCACGTTGCAGGCAGTTGCAAATTTGCTTCTGAAATCTACAAGCCCAGAAACTTGTAAACCGGGCTCTGTAAAGCAGAAGACAGGCAAATTAGGTTATATACGTGCTTCCCTCAAACTGAGTTGGCAGAAGCACGAGATTGAGCACAGCCCACTCAACCACGTCAAAACCAAAATACTAATAGGGGACATAAACATCACAAGGAAAATCGCGTAAGAGCACTTTTAAGTGGTCTTAAATTCCTGAGTTTGGGGAAAAGGATAATTTTATGGCTTGAGTCCCATGCAAGGGAGAGAAGTTCCTCTTTCTAGAAAGTTCCCTTTCCTACCTGATAGATTTGAGTGTCTGATGAATCAAATGAAGAGAAATTACAGAAAGCCAGTTACAGTCAGTAGTTGGTTTTCTATAAGAGCGTTGCACTGAGAAAAAATCAAAACAGCATCACGGGGGTGTGTGTATATATATATATGGAATTTTTAAAAAGAGCATCATCACCTGCTCTTAAGGGGAATTTAAGACTGAAGTAGTTGCCGCTCTCCTAGGAGATCCATGTGGTTTGATTACCCGCCCTGAAAAAGAGCTACCTTGCATGCTAAATTCAAAATAGCTCAGTTTAGCACCTTTCCTGATTACTTATTTTTTTTAATTTTGGGTAGTTTTAATAAATTCAATGTTCTCCTTGAACTCTCAATTTTTTTAAAAAAAGATGTCTATAATAAGCCTGGTAGATTTTAACTTAGGGTCTTCTACCTGTGTTTAAAAATTTTACACTTCTGAAAACTGGCAAATTAGTTATGATGCCAGAGTTTTGCTGAATAATTCTGAAACATGAAAAAGTTTTTCTTCTCCCATGAAGAAAATATTTTAATAGTAAACTTAATGTGATCCTACAGAGGAGAAGTATATCCCTTTTTAGTCACTAGAGAAAACTTGGCGACTTTGTTTCTTTCTCTGTATGTAGGTTCTCTCTCTCTCATTCTCTCTCTCTCTCTCTCACACACACACACACACAAACACACACGCACACATATCTTTTTAGAGGCATCTTCAGTGTGACTTCACCCTAATAATTACAATCAAAGGCAACGGGGGATAGAGGAGGCAAAGAAGATGGGGGTGGGTGGGTAAATACAGCAAATCTGCATTCATTCTCCAATCAGAGGTTCACTTAGTGGAATCGACTGTATCTTTTGTACACAACGAATAGAAAAAAAAATCAACAGGGACGTGCAACAGTGAGGTGTGCAAATGTATTACCAACACGGAATGACTACCAACAGTACAACATACAGAGAGAAAGTGAGACAAGTATTAGGAAAATGGTTTAATATTGGAGACAGAAGCAAAAAACTGCATCACACAATAACATACGTTACAAAAATAAGTTTGACTGTTTCAACTACACAGTTATGTTCACAATGAAGACAGAAGAACCAGGAAAACCTTTTGATCTAAACAGCAAAAAAGCAAACCCTACTTTTTTTAAAAACAAAAACAAAACCCTAATACATATATCCACTTAAAGTGACTGTGTACTCCTAAATTCTAATTTGTTAATATTGTGAAACTGCACAATACAGAATAAAAAGTGAAACTTACCGCGTGTTTTAAAACACAAAATCCTAAACACTAAATATAAGCAAATGGAAAGGATAAAACCAAGCCAAAGTTTGTTTTAAATTTTCTAAACTAAGCCAACTTTCTTTCAGTCAACTGGAAATCAAACTTGAAAAACAGTTATGATCAGGGGGGCTCCCAAGAGTAAGCCGCCATATTTTTTCCCCCCATTTTTGTTTAAATCTCCAGTATAAAAAATTTCCACTGGTACAAAATGCGTGCGTACAATCAAGTTTTATAAGCAGGAAAGCCTGTGGTTGGTTACTTGGTTGGTTTGTTTTATTTTCCTCATTTCGTTTTCCATTTTGCTTTTGGCTCAAATTCCATCAAACAGCAAAATCCAAATGCATCGACAAAACAGAAACAATACTCAAAATGGTCTTACAGTTTCTCACTACATTGCAGTAACTTTGGCTTTTCTTAGACAAAATAAAAATAGAAAGAAGCAAAAACCTAGGTTATAATCCATTTGTATCACAGGCTCAGCTCCCATACACTGAGAATTCATAAGGGGGTTGAAGAAAAATCTGCTTTTACCTTCTGCATAGGAATGCAGAACTTGTCAAGATGCTGAAGGGCCTGGCTGTCACAGGAAGACCCTCCTCTCTTAATTCATAGGGGGTCAAGAATAATTTCCATGAGCAACACTGAGCTCTGCCGAGCCCGAAGAATTCCCTGAGCATGAATGCCACATCTGTGGTAGGAATGGATCATTTCCTGAGTTTTTGATGCTCTCAACTTAAAAAAGTTGTCATTAGTTGACAAACAACAATTTCTCACAGCACAACGTCCTCCCCCCCCTCCCCAAAACCTGGTACACAGGATATGACATTATTCAGAAAAAACAATGAAATTACTTAATTTTTTTTTTTTTGTTAATTAGCACTTAAGTTAATAGAAACAGAAACAGCAACATGAGCCAAAGAGTAGCACAAGCTGAGAAATAACCCCTATGGTGAAAGAAAGATGAACTTGTTACACCTTTGAATACGGCCATTTCGCATAACTAATTTGGTTGGGAAACTACTGTTTTGTGCTTTCGGAGTTAAATTTTGAAATGCAACCATTCCTGGTTTATTATTATTATTATTATTTTCTTTTTTTTCTTCCTCTATAAATAAAAGCCCTTTGCACTCTCACAGTTTCCTTTCAATGTTTCATCTTTTATATATGAAGAACCTGTGTACAAGAAGTGCAGTGCATAAGGCCTTGGTTTTGCTAGCTGGTTTTTCCCTTGCAATCTTTTTATGCTGCAAATGCAGCAGCAGTATGTATCTTATTCAGGGGTAGAAACTGTTGAGAAAGTGATAGCTTTTTTTTCCTGTTTATGCCGGTGCCTTCTTTTCCTCTCAGTAATTTGTCCCTAGGAAAATGGCCCAATATTGCAAATTAAACTTCTCTTTGAAAATCAAGAGTTCCCTTGGGGCTGCAAAATGAACAATGCCTGGGAAATAATGAGGAATGGGGCTGGCAAGGAGAGAAAGAGAGAGAGAGAGAGAGAGAGAGAGAGAGAAGAAAGCTTCCCACTTGGATAGGTGCAAATTCATAAGACAGAAGTTATGGAGTTTAGCACCAGCAGGACAAAGCATTCATAATTGTGTTGGCTGCCATTTTAACAGGTTTGGTGTGGGGTTTTGAAATAAGCCCCAGTTGATGTGAAAGAAGCATGAGTTTTCTTATGTGGCATCTGATTTTCTTTTCCAAACAACATGATTATTTGGGAAATGTTAGATGCTGAACAATAACGTCCTGGAAAAATGTTTCATGATCTCCTATTATATTACTGTGTATGTTAACAAATAAAATGGTGTAACAAGTACGAAGTTAGCCCTCAAGGGTTCAGCAAGGCCCCAGAAGAAGAAACATGAGACAATCATGGAGCACTTATCTATTAACTGAGAATATCTCTGTGTTAGAATTCTTTTTCTTGCTTTCTTCTCTCTCACTCTGCAATATTTGGATTCTAGTGTTTGCCATCTACGGCTTCTCTAAAAATAAACCTACTTCCTCCTCCTCCTTTAGAAATAATGTAAAAGCAAACTGGTAGATTATCACCTGCCTTCTTAAAAATAATTCATATGGGGAATTGGAAAAATGGGAGATGTTTTAAATGAGAGTGAAAAGGATTAGACAATAGGAAATGATTTTGGCACTTTTTAAAAAATCAGTAGCATGAAAAGCTGCTGAAATAATCTTGGCTTGAAAAAAGGTTTATATTTGCCACTACAGAATACCAAAATTTAGTTGATGAATAGGAGTGCTATTTTGTTCGATCTAACTTCAAAGAAACAAGGCAATGAAGTGTTATCATTCCTTAGTTCCTTGTTTATTATTCTGCAAAAATCTAAGAATTTGCAGAATTTTCCCTTTGATGTGAACAGATAGTAAGTAAGTAGTACAGTACATGCTTACAGGGTCATGCCCACGTATTGTTTACAACAGATAATAAGAGATACAAAATAGCTAAGCAACTATCTTTATGTTTCATAATTTTCTATTGATGGAACATGCAAATTTCTGAGTTATGCAGAGCTCTATGGCTATGAAGTGACCAGAACCCAGCAGGAACAATAAACATATCAACTCTGTAACTTCCTTATGTAGCAAAATTAAATTAATCCCCTGTAGCTTTTCCATGCCTTGTTTTTTACTGAGTAAAAATGGTGAAGTCCTGTGGCCTCTTAAAGATGGTCATATTTACAATGGCAGAAACATTTGTGAACTGCAGCGCCTTCAACTGTGGATGTATGGGTGCTATTAGCTCAGCTCATGGGTTCATGCTGCTTGTGGAATGAATAAGACGTCACCCAAAGGATGATGTCATAGCAAATACCAGATGTGTCCTCAGGCACGGTCACAAAAATCAAGATGGCTGTGACAACTGAAGCGCCATCTTTTTTTTTTTTTTTAATGTGCACTGTTGTAGCATTTTTATTCTTGTGACCACAATTTCTGGACACCTCTGATAAATACAATAACCTTTGTATTGTAAGGATGGGACTTCGCTTTTGTTACCCACTTCAGAAAAAAGAAAATAACAATCGCACCCTAAATTGCCTTGCTTATTTGGCTTCCTCTTCTGCCACTATGACTGCCTTCGTATAACTTCATAGATTATGAATGGCAGGTGTGAATTTCTGAATACTTCTGCCCCCAGGCCAAGACATTCCAACTAGCTATGGTAAATCTCCCCATGCTAAGCCTGGGTCTGTCTCTCCTTACAATACAACTGCAGCAAACACATTGGCTTTGCTGAATTGTTTTTTTAAAGTACATTCTGAAATATAGGAAGCTCTGATTTAGCAATGCTTCCTGTTGCATTTAAGAATGCCACTGATGTTCAGAACCAAGGGTGGCATGTCTCCAAAATGCTCAGAGAAAACAAATTGTCCTCACAACAGCTAAAGAACATTACACGGCCAGCTCCGTAGACTGAATGAAACAAAGAAAAAAGGGGCGCATGTGGGGTGGGAAGGGGAGAGGAGAAGCAAATCAGGAGTATGGGTTGATACCTGCTACTTACTTCATGGGGGTTCTGGTTTTAAAGTGTACATTAGAATGTGTTGGGTTGAGACAACACCTCTGAAACTCTGGGTTTTTGATCTGTGCACATGGTTGAGATGGGGCTAGATGATGACTAGCAATGCTTAATGGAAAAATACTAAAAACAGCAACAAGACGCATCATTTTGCTCTCTTCCTGGGCTGTGTCTTACTAAGATTTCTTTTTACTATGTAGGAAAAGGAAAGCTTTGAAAAGAACAACTGGGTTTTACTAAGAGAAGCTGCTATGAAGAGAGGGCTAGGGAAGAGAAGGGAATGGTGACAAGGTCCCGTGATGTTTTGATTGAAGGGACCGTGTGGAAAATCTCCAGATTGGGAGACAGGAAAAAGATGGAGAGTCCTGCAAGCAGGTAACCCATCTGTTCCACAGCTCCAGAGGAACTGCTGAAAAGCAATCTTTATGTTCTTCTCTGGAATGGGAGCCCAGCTGTTCATCAGCTTCCCAAGACTTGCAGCAGCCCCATAACTTCATGGGCAGCAAGGCCAATCTCACATCAGAGGAGACCCTACGTGTAAACCACCATACATGCAATTGCTTCTCAGAGCATCAATAGCTTGCATCCATCCAGAAGCTCTAAAGACCTACGTTCACAAAAACAGATTTTGGGCTACTGTAATTTGCTCTCAGGTTGAGGAACTACAGAGCCATCTTTTGCTTCTGCCTTTTTGAGGATTTGCTACAAGTCAGAAGCCTGCATGTTCATCAGCTAACAGGAATGGATCCTGCTAACAAAAGATACCGCTATATCTACTTTGTATCTATTGCATCTGGACCGACATAGTACAAATATGGCAGCTAGCACATCAGAGCATTTAGACGTGTGTAAACCTCATCCATAAAAAGGAGTTTAACTGCAGTGCACAAGAAAATTTCATCCAGGAAGTTCTAGTGCGCTGGATTTAATCAAAAATTCATTTAATTTTATTATAAAAATATTTTTTGAATGATTTCAAATTGTGGGTTCAATTCTCCTATCTAGGAGTGGTTACACAATACATAATTAAAGAATTATTTTTACTTTTTAAATACAGAATATCATATACCAGCAGCATATTAAAAGCTCTTTTTAAGAAAAGATTTTAAAAAACAAAACAAAACAAAGGAGCTCTACAATTTCTAAATATTTTTTTTAGTTATAGATACAGAAGAACTTTAGACAGCAGTAAAATATTTTTTTTCGTCCTTCAGATCTGCTCTGTGCATTTTTCTGATTTCAACCATGTATTAAATAAAGCACAAAAAAATTAGGTGTGTATGTGTATATGTGTATGTGTATGCATGTGTGTGTGTACATATTTGTGTATGAATATACACGCACAAATATGTGTGTGTGTGTGTGTGTATAATGTGTATATAAAAATAAAGAGCAAAATGGTGAATGTATAAAAGTATTAACTCTCAAGACAGCTCTGGGTGGAAAGGGTTAAAAGTTCAAAACTTTCTCACCTTAGAGGTTTCCATACATTATGAGGAAATTACATTGTGAGGTTTGCATTCACAGCATTGATGCGCAGAATGGTTAGAAAAGGGAAACATGGGCACTTATACAATGTTTTACAAAAAACATCCAAGAGAAATAACAAACAACAACAATTTCAGGCAACAAGACCACAGGATAGCAAGTTAACAAACTTTTTAACCTCTTTTTTTCCTTTAAATATTAGGGATTTATACAAAACACATAATAAAATACCCATGTTATCAAATTACTTCACACAAGAAACACACTGAAGCTCTAGGAAGAGAAGTACCTTTGGAATTTGGCACTAATTTTTTCCCCCCCCACTGAGTTCTTATTATTTATTTAAAAGGAAAACTGAATCACATTTTGCTGAACACAAACACATCGAAATTGTCCACAATAATAATTTTAAAAAAATCGACATCAATGCCTCACAGAAGCCAACACAAACTTAGTCTGGAATAGTTTTTATTTTTCACATGAAAACTTTTTTTTTTTAATTTTAAGCAAACAACTTTTTTTTTCATTTTTTGAAATTCATTTTTTTTGTTCTGTTGTTGATCTTCAAGTAAAAACCAATTTCAAACCTGTTGTTTATAAACACAGAACACTTAAAGACCATGAGGAACCCCCCCAATGATGAGACCACAACTTAATTCACAAAAGCACCAAATGAAACAATAGCTTACAATAACCTTTCTCCTGTACATCGAAACAGTATAAAATATAGGTAATTTTCATGTGCATTAATTCATGGATTGTCTAACTTGTGAATCAGTTCAGCAAAAGGTGACAAATAGGTAGCATTTGCCCTAAAACAGGGTAAATATTTTTTTATACTAATCTACAAAAAGTGGTTCTATATATATATATTCTTAATGAGAAAGTGAGCCACCTAAAATGGCCTTATCAAAAAACTTTACACTGCCTGAAAAATGTAAAAACTATTACAGACCTCTAGAGACTTAAAATCAGACAGTTCTTCATTTCAAACTATTTCGGAAGTAGTCTGTTAGAAACCAACATTCTGTGCCTATGTGGACACATATTGCTATGTCATTAAGAGACCAGCCAGAATGCCAGTCTCTTGTCTAATACTTTCAAGTCTGTTTTTTTTTTTACAGAAAAAAAGAAAAGAATAAAAGGGGAAAAAAAGGAAAAAAGGAACACCGAAAACTTTAAACAAAACATTTTGCCACAGGTTGTGTGTGTGTGTGTGTGTGTGTGTATGTGTGTTAATACTCCTATCATAAATTTGACTACGAATAAATTTTGATCTTGCATAAATGCAGCAATGCTTTTCACATTGACTTCCCAGAATTCATATAGCTAGATGAGGTCACATGCAAATTTCAAAGGTTCAAACTATAGATCAAAGATCAGTAGGAGAACCAAATTATGATGTGAGGTCAGAAAGACATCAGAAACAATGACGGGACGATGAAACTTTTTTAAGACGTCACAGGGACATGCTAGGCAAACGATGAACTAACGGGCATGAAGATGTCTAGGGAAAAACAAGGAAGAGGAAAAAGTTATGGAGAGTCTATGCAGCAGAAACAAAAATCATTTTAATGGGTGCAGGAGAAAACTAATGCAAATTTTTTCATCATTAGAGTCCCAGCCATTCACACAATTTGCATTAACTGTACACTTGGTCAACAACGGCCACAATGAAAGAGCCCCAAAGAATCCATTAGAAAGGAGGTTTCTTTCTTTCTTTTTTTTTAAAAAAGGATTCTTATTTCATTTGGGGAAGGAAAAGGGTGGGAAGGAATCAAGACCCCATTTCAACAGAGGTAACATCAAGAGGAGTAGAAGTGGATTGAAGGGAATCAAGAGAAAGAGTGAGAGCAAAAAAACAAACAAACAAACCCCAAGACAACTAAATTTTAAAGTAGATAATGGAAAGAACGGACAAGTTAACAAAGACAAAATACAAACAAGAGGAGAGAAATTATGAACCATAAAAGATGTAGGGTTCAACGGTGAAAAAGCACCCATTCTTGGCACGTGTACTCTAGAGACTACTTCAAAATGATCTAGCTACCAGACAGAGCTGGTCTTTAGGTATCCAATAAGTTAACAATAGGCAATAAATAACTTCCATTATTTCTGAGGCAGTAAAAATTTTTGTATAAAAATAGAAATGCTTTTTACAAATAAAATTTACAGGCCTGTGGCTTTCTTTTGTATCTATTATTATTATTATTATTATTAAATTTTTATCTTTCAAGAAACATCAAGTATTGTCATTCTTTTTTATTTATTTATTTTTTAAACCCTGTAGCTTTAGAAACAGATCTCTATGTCTTTTTTTTATACTAATGCTCTTTACAAAAAAAACAAAAAACAAAAAATCAAAACAAAACCCTGAAGAACTTAAAAAAAAAAAAAAGGAAAACAAAACACAAATAGGTAAAATATATAAAGACAACCAGTGTTTAAACAGGATAATGTAACCATGTGTCAATCTGAAGCCCTAAGAATGGTAAATATTAAAGCTTCTTAATAAGAAGAAAGAAACAAACTGAAGTAATGGAAAAAATGTTGTGTTCTAAATGAGTCACTTTCTTGGCCAAGGGCCATAGCTTTATTAAGCAATTTCAGAACTGGTGCCATTCGGATAATTCAGGATTGCTTTCATTATCCTCATCCAAAGTGTTAAGGACACCAGGGCCGAGAAAGTCAAGTTGCAATTTTTCTTTTTTGACAGCTCTAATTATTAAGATTGTAGCATGTGGATGGGTGCTTTCCCTTCAATGCTCATTAAAATAATAAAAAAAAAAAATCTGAGTTGCTAATTCAAATCTTGTAGGTCATCCCACAATTTTTTTTTTTTTTTTGGTTAGGTTAGCCAAGTTTCTCTTAAACAAGTGGGGAAAATGGAAGCAGGATTGTCAAATGGCTGTCTCTTAGAGGTGGCGGGCCAGATGTTCTTATGTTCTTTCTCAATCCCACCCCAAGCAAGGGTGGGCTTGCTCAAGAGACTTACCCTAAGGAAACTAAATTAAGAGCAGAAAGCTTCTGGGAGAACGGTCAGTAAGGTTTGCTGTCATTTTTTGAGCGCTTCAGCTGTACTTTCAGGCGTTTCATGCCAATTTGAAAGCCGTTCATTGCCTGTATTGCAGCTTGTGCCGAGACAGGATTGTCATAGCTAACAAAACCTAGAATGCACAAAAGTAGGAAAGGGGGGGGGGAGAAAAAAAACGAGTGCGTAAGAACTAGCAGAAAATCATTAGCACTTGTATTCTTTCACAGTGTTCTCCAGCATAAAGACTAAGAAGCATTTGATTTCCTTTCTTCAATTCTGTCACTTCTACTTGCTTCCTAATTCCCTCACTGTCACTTCTCTTTGGCTTCTCCTTTGTGGCTTTGATAGGCAACTTTCTCAATTGTTCTTCCATTGATTAAAAAATCCAAATTGCTTTTGGATGTAGGGGTACATTTAGTATTTTAGGTCAAAAATGATACAGTGGAGACATCATTTCAGACTTTGGGGTTTAAGACATCAGACCTACCAGATACCTTGGATAAAAGGGATACTATTTATATCCACTTAATTTCACAGATATTTATTTATTTATTTATTTATTTATTTATTGAATTTGTATACCGCCCTTCTCCCTGAGGACTCAGGGCGGTGAACAGCCAAATAAAAACATCAGATACAAATATTAAAATACAGTTAAAAATATATATATATAAATTTGGCCCCATTAATTAAAACAATAAACCAAACAATTAAAAACACTTAAAAAGAATTAGGCCAGCCCGGCTTGTTGGAAAAGGAAGGTTTTAAGGGCACGGCGGAAGGCACTGAGGTCATGGATTCTCCTTATCTCAGGGGGCAACTGATTCCAGAGGGTGGGAGCCCCCACAGAGAAGGCCCTCCCCCTGGGGGTCACCAGCCTGCATTGTTTGGCTGATGGCACCCCGAGGAGGCCCTCTCTGTGGGAGCGCACGGGTCGATGGGAGGTCGTCGGTGGCAGCAGGCGGTCTCGGAGATAGCTAGGCCCTATGCCATATTGAACTGTAAGGTAATAACATTTGGTTTGTAAAGCTTGCTAAGCCACATAACAAAACAAAAACTTTAACCAAACATCATATGTTGTGCTACTGTATCTACAGATAGTCCTTGACTTACGACCACAATTGAACCCAACATTTCTGTTCTTAAGCGAGATATTTGTTAAGTGAATTTTGCCCCCATTTTACGACTTTTCTTGACCCAGATGTTAAGTGCATCACTGCAGCTGTTAAGTTGTGGCACAGTTGTCAAATGAATCTGGCTTCCCCATTGACTTTGCTTGTCAGAAGGTTACAAAAGGGGATCACATGACTCTGGGATGCTACCACTGTCATAAATATGAACCAGTTGCCAAGCATCTGAATTTTGATTACATGATCCCAGGGATGCTACAATAGTCATAAGTTTTAAAAAACGGTCCTAAGTACTTTTTTCAATAACATTGTAGCATTGAATGGTCATTAAACAAAGTGTTGTATGTTGAGGACTACCTCTACTATGTTTCAATTGGTCTGGGACTATATGTTGGGGAAACAGGGGCAATATGTTATCAGATATGGACCAGCACATTAGTGATTTATTATTTTATTCCATTCTTATGCTGGTTTTAAAAGTTTATAAAAAATTCTGGTGCTGCTTGCCACCACTAATTTTTTCTTCTTTTGAATGTTGAAAAACTTCACTTTGAAATGTCTCTTTTCTCAGACAAGAGAGAACTTGTAGTTGTAACTTGTAGTTCAAATTATGCCTATCAAAGAATAAAGCAATAGAATATCAAAATAATTTGATTATAATACAACAGATTGTCTTTCCTAATTTTTGTTGTTACAAGTTTATAATTATCTTGAATGTGTTTATTATATTTATCAATTAAATTAAATATGTTTTTAATTGTTAAAAATGCACTTTGTGAAGTAGATTATATTTACCTTGTAGTACAAATAAACAAAGAGCAATACATACATAATGAAACTTAAGGGAAAAGCAAAAATCATTAAAGTTATGGAAGATTAGAAGAAAAAAGTTTTGAAACTGTCCTAAAGTCCAATGAGATGGGAGACGTTTAGATATTCAACTATTTTTTTATTAGACGCTGCATTGTTCATTCCATTTCACTTTATATTCAGTTCCTATTTTTATTCTTTGTTAATATTCCATCTTGGCTGAATTATAACTACACCATAGGAAATAATGCCCTTAAGGCTATTGTTATTTCTTAGGCATGATGATGCAATTTTGGCTGCAAATTTGCATAAAACAGGAAAACTAGAACTAGCATCAGAAGGAATAATTATTTAACAAATACTGTATGTGAATGTAACTATACTGCAGTTAAGAGAGTCAGTTTGGGGCAGTGACTAAGACATGAGGCTAGAAACTGTGAGACTACATAAAGCCAGCTGGGTGACCTTTGGCCAGTCACTTTCCCTCAACGTAGGAATGAGGCAATGGCAATTTATTTCTGAAAAATCTTGCCAAGAAAACTGCAGGGACTTGTCTAAGCAATCTCTAAAAATCAGGCATGATTGAATGGTAGAAAAAAATGTGTTTGCAATGCAATTGCAGTCTTTTTTAGAGCTGGAAATATTTAATATAATCTGCAAATAATGAGTTAAACATGGAAAGGCGCTTTTTTAACACAATAGAGAATAATTAGACACTCATAATAAGGTGCCTTGATTGTCTAATAAATGACATTCCTTCACATAGGATGTAATTAGTTTTATGCATTTGACAGTTCTGTTGTGCTTCTAGGGAAATATTTTTTTTAGACATTTTTCCTGATTCAACCACAAATGCTTGTACTTTTCAAAAATAATAGGAGTTGCTGTGAGGAAAGAAACATTTCATTTTTTTGTGGAACTTTCAGAGTCTTTCCTTTTTTTTTACTGAAATGGTTATAGAGGACAAAGCAAAGAACATCTCCTTTATCGAGAACATAAAGATAAATCTATGGTGGAGAATGACTAGGAGTGGATGTTAACCAATGCCTCTAATTCACATCAGCAATAAATCCTAGGCTGTGAACCTTGTAACTGCAGACTTAGAAAGAGCCCTTGAGGCTATCAAGTCCAACTCCTTGCTCAATGTAAGTGAAGATTCACTTAACAACTCTGGCAGGAAAAGTCATGAAATGGGGCAAAACTCACTTAACAAATGTTTTGCTTAGCAACATAAATTGTGGTTATAAGTCAAGGGCTACATATATGTGTATGTATATGTATACGTATATATCATCATCATCATCTAGCCACTGCAGGATGAGGGCCTTTTCTGCTCAGGACTGTATTGCTTTCCAACCAATACAGTCCTGAGCTTTCCTTTGTCAATTGGGCTCATAATACTTGCTGATGTATACGATATTGTATATGTGTATGTATATATATATGTGTGTGTGTGTGTGTGTGTGTGTGTGTGTGTGTGTGTGTGTGTGCTTGTAGGCATGCCTGTATAATCTTGGAGGAAAATGTTTGCCCTAAAGAGAAGAAACAATGTTCAAATAACCAACTGTGGATCACATTAGAATGAGGACTAATGTAAAAAGGATATATCTACAATTCTCCAGTGGAAGGCAAAATACAACAATAAATGTTGAATCTAAGATGTCAGTTTGGGAAAAGAGGAAGATAAAAGGGTAGATAGTATGTTAGATTTTTGGTGTTCTGTACTGAATGTTACATACCAAAACACTTGCTCAGATTAGTCTGTTTGTCAATGAAGACCTTAGCAGAAATAACATTTCCAAAAGGCATAAACATCTGCAGAATGTCCTGGTCTCCAAACTCTTGTGGGAGATGATAAATGAAAAGGTTTGCTCCTTCTGGACCTTTTAAGAAAAGAGAGAACAGGCAGCCAGAATCAGCTCTTTCATTTTATGCTGAAAACATCCACTAAATATAATTCAGCTCACTTTTTCCCTCTATGGTATCTTCCAAATATGTTAAGACTGGAAGAGAAACAAAGATGTTTTATATTTTTATCCAAGATCTCACCCACCTTTCCCCATAAATTGGGTTTATTGGAGTTGGGTGACCCAATAAATTTAAATGAAAGAATGAATAAATAAGGAAAATTGAAAACAAAAAGGATTGTGAAGCAATTCAAATATTTATTTTTTACATTCTCTATAAAATGGTTGAAGTGTGAAAGAAACTGGTGTTTATTTAAATTTATTATAGTTGTCCAACTCAAATAGGCTTATAAACCAATTTATGAAACAGACCATCAGGGAAACCTATCTCAATACAATTTTCAGAGGTCTGTGAAAATGATAAAATAACAGCAAAAATAACAAAGCATCAGAAACATGCTGATAGAGAAATGATTTAGAAAACAAGAATTCCTAGACATTTCATATGCCAAAACATGCATTTTAAGTTTTCTTCTGCTCTTTTTTTGCAGTTGTTTGGAGAAAAATAATCCTCTTTGTAGCTCTTACATATCCGTTACATAATATGGAGAATAAAGTTTAGAATACTGTTTTTTATTTCAGCTCAATGCTGATTATTTTTTTCTGCTTTCACATTAACTTTTTATCTTTTTGGTTCTCCCAAATGGGTAAAAATGAAGAGATGCTATATTTCTGACAAGTCCATATGAATAAACTCTAGAATGCAACGTTTTGTTGCAAACATCTTTTATAACCTGACGTTATAAATCTGGTTATTCGCGTTATTAATTTTATACGTGGCAAAGCGGCTTTATATTTACATACAATGTGGGATATAAAATAACTATAATTATTCCTTGTAGTTAATTTATCCTCCAAAATTTCATTTTCTGCTATTAGACTTTTTGGAAATCTTAAATATCTCTCTGGGGTTGCAATTGGCATGATGGTCAAAACGTTATGATGGCAGCTTTGATTCGTCCGTCTGTCCATCTATCAAGCCATCCATCCATATTTATATAGCTGCCCATCTCAAGGGTTCGAATATATTTTTACATCTTTGTGTTCTATATTTCATACTGCTGCCTTATTTTATTTTTTTTTGGTCTTAATTCCTGTCTATCCCTCTGGTTCCTCTCTGTGGAGCTAAATTCCTCTTTTGATGGTGTTCAATCTGTCTTTGATCTTTCTTTAGTTTCTGCTTTCTACTTTGTTCAAGCCTTGACTTTTTCTTCCCCTTTTCCTAGTGGGGCTTTGCCTTTCCCCCCGTCTTGGCTCCCACCTGAGGTAAACCTTTCCCTCACACAGTTCTGAGGGAGTATTTAAAAATGCTTTTCTCCCCCCCATTTTCCTCAGCTGCTGCTTCCTTTCCCTCGCCGTTTCTCATCAGGGCTGTCTATCCTTTAATATATTTTTTTTTGACTTTGATTTCTGAGCTTTGGCTCCATTTATTTATTTCCATTTTCATGAACTGCCAGGCAGCCATTTTGTCTTCCTTCTCTCCTCCTTCACTGCCACCTGCTCAGTGCTTCTTTTTGATTGGCTGCTGCTACTGAATTGGCAGCCGTGGTCTCCCTAGCAACAGGGGAGGGCCAAGAAAAAGCTCAGGTACTTATTACCTGCTCAGGTAATCTGTCCTCAAGGAAGAGAAAGGAATTGGCAGAACTAGCAGGGTGAATTTGCTTCATACATACATAAAGGGTTTTTTCCTTTTTAAATGGGGTCCCAAATAGTGGGCAGTTCTTCAAATGCCCATTTTAATATTATTTTGATATTAAATATTATTAAAATATTATTTCAATATTAAATATTGTTAAAATATTATTTTAATATTAAAATTCTTAAGTGTTCTGTGAGCGGCAGGTTCTATTATAGGAATAAATAAACAAAGAAATATAGAAAACTGATGGCATTTATTTATTTATTTATTTATTATATATTTTTTAACTTTTAATTTCCGTTAGATGATGGAGATGTGCTTATCTAGCGACCTTCAAATAATAAATTTGTTTTATTATATATTATTATCATTACATTATACTATTTTTAATCTATTATATTTTTTAAAAAATATGTATATAAATTATATAAACAAAGAGAGAAGGGGAATAAGTAAATTGGATTCTGCTTTCCTTCAGCCTCCTCCTCCTCGTCATTTATTACAGCCAAGGGCTTAGAAAAATGGTTCATCCAATTTTGAACGCTCGTCTTAAGAAAGACTATCGATAACTCTGATGGCCCACGAATGCTTGACCATGGAGGCAAACCGCCACACCTATTTTGTATTGTTTCTTTCCAGTCCTAAATGAGCAAATACAGGTAAGTCTTTGTTTGCCGTGGGGCTGTTTTTGCTGAAATTTGAAGTAAATGCTGATTTCTGGGGAAAAAAACCAGAAATCCATTGTAAATTGCTGAGAACGGTTAAAAATGCGGGCCCGTTGCGGAATGCCCAAAATGTGATCACATCACATGGGTTGGGGGGCTGATGTCAAAACTTCAAAACTGAGTTGTTGTAACTTTGAATGGATCCTAAGCAACCAGTCATAAGTCGAGGACTACCTATAATCAGATAGAAGAAAAACACTTCTCTAAAGTGGCTGTACTTGAAGGACCTAAGAAATGAATGGATAGGGGAGAAGCCTTTTTTTCCATTGAACATCTTGCAATTAGCATTAATTTATTTTCAGCATTAACTTTTTGGGTTTCTTTTGCTCTGTCAGCACCTCATGTGAAGCAATCAATCCTTTATTTGCTTCCCCTCAAGACTCTCCATTAAATAAGCGACCCTTCATTGTAACCATGATGGATGGATTTGGTCATTAACCTCCAAACGCTATTTAGTTATAAAAACTGCATGTTTGTAGTGTACATGCAAATCCAGATAGGGGAGCTGCTTCCCCACCAGAAATGGAAAAAGAATTCAAGGATGGTTTGAACCAGAGCACTTTTTTATTTTTGCAAAAGCAGCAGACAATATCTATTTTTGCATTAGAAAAGCAGTGGGTGGTAACATTCTTTGAGCAAGTGCCTGAAAGGAACTTTGTGTGCTGGGAAATTAAATATTTATAGGGTTCCTATATATTCTCCATGCCAAAGGTTTCCATGCAGGCATGACTACTTAAGGTGCAGCTTAGTTCCGGTTCAGTATCAATTTTGATGAGTCAGTGACTTTGTAAAGGGTTTTAGGAATCACAAACTTTCCATTTTTCGGCAGTGAGATATTCCTTAACAATCTAAACTAACTAGATAGTAGCTCCAGTATAGCCAGGTGAATCATAGGCTTGCAGGCTCCTCTGAGAACTATGTTTCCATATTGACATCACATTCTTTTTGCTAGGATAAGACAAGCATAAGAAAATTATAATAAGCAAAGGTTGGGCTAATGGGGAAAAAAAATCAACATTGCTCTGCCTTATTCTTTGATAATTGAAACATATTGTACGTACATGGTGCTCTATGAGCTTGGTTGTTTGCTGGAAGATGTTTCATTACCCAACTAGCGTGCAAGGATGAGAGCAAGTTTGGTCCAGTGGTTAAGGCACTGAGCTGGAAACCAAGAAACTATGAGTTCTAGTGCTGCCTTAGGCATGAAAACCAACTGGGTGACTTTGGACCAATGACCAGGAGACAGTGAGTTCTAGTCCTGCCTTAGGTATAAAAGCCAGCTGGGTCATTTTGAGCCTATCACCAGGAGACTGTGAGTTCTAGTCCCACCTTAGGCATGAAAGCTGCCTGGATGACTTTGGGCAAATCACTCTTACTTAGCCCAACTCACCTCACAGAGTTGTTGTTTTGGGGGAAATAGGAGGAAGGTGCATTGGATATGCGTGCACTGCCTTGAGTTATTAGTAAAAATAATGGAAATGGGATATAAACAAACTAATAAACAAAAATGTTACCTATTTGGATAATGAAATGCCTGCAAGTTAACACCCAAGCTGAAAGAGCACCAAGGACCTTAGCTACATATATTCTCTTCTGCCGTACCCTAATATTTTGCAATTATTTTCATCCATTGCAGCATAAGCCCTTGAGTGCTGGGGGAGGTGGGGCATCATGAGATAAGAAAACTCTACTTAATGATGGAGCTTAATAGTAATGATAGCAGCAGCTGCACTAATAAACTTAATTTTAGAAGGCCACTAAGTTTCATTTGTTTTTAGTTTTGAATTAAGAATCTCTTTCTTGCTCCCTTTTTGCATTTCCCCCCATGGCCTACCTATCTTACCTTCTTTCTGGCTGCCTGCAGCACTTTGTTGTTGTAGCAAACTTTGACTGTATAGCGTGGGCAGTGCCGCAGCGGCATACTGCTGTATTCCTGAGTAGGCTTGGGTGAGGGCATCCATTGTGCCAGCTGTACCATTGGTCAAGCCTGTTGCACCGAGTCCTCCATTCAGGGCAGCCATACCTGAGAGCATTTGAGCAACTTTACAAAAAACCCAACAATAGAGAAAAGAAATTGCACTTATTCATTAGTGCTTTCCAAACATCGTTAGCATTAATATGACACCGACAACAATGGCTGGGCATGCAGATAAAAAACACATAAATAAATAATCACAGCAGTAAGAATAACAATAATACAAATCGGGCACTTCACCAGATGGCACAGATAAAAACAACAGGTAGGACAACATCCAATCTATAAAGACATATAAAGATTGAGGTTAGGAGTTATTGTTCACAGCAACTCAGTTTCCCATGCATGCAGCATTCAGCAAAAATTGGGGTCACCAGAAAAATCTGTTTTCCCCCTGATGATTTATGGCATCTGGTCCGTGGGCCAGATGCGTCACACGCTGGCCACGCCCATGGCCGCTTTAGCAAAGGGGGAAAAAGTCATGATACATCACATAATGCTGCTGTGACGATGCGAGTTTGACACCCCTGATTTATGGCATCTTCATAGCATCACAGACACTTTTAATATAAAGCCTGTCCTCATTAAAGTTGTTTTGATGCAATTACAAACGATTCTAGAAGAATGTTTCTCCACCTGGTCAACTTTGAGATGAGTGGATTTCAACTCCCAGAATTCCTAACCAGCAAGGCCATTGCTAAAAATCATGGGGATTAAAAGTGCACACATCTCAAAGTTATCCAGGAGGGGAAACACTGTTCTATATATGTCTCTAGATAACCAAAGAATCTGCTGCTACCAAGGATGAACCAGACTTTTGTTGCCAATTCAGCTCATGTAACTGAAAACTAGTAGGTCAGGAAGGGTGTTTCTGGCTAACAACTGGGAAACCTTTGGTGGCAGCTGGATACTTTGAGAACACACTGTGCATCATCTCACAAAATGGCTGCACTGATAGCTGATCTTTTCTCAAAGTATGTGCCACAGGAGGCATGGTCCATCATAAAATACCTATCCTAGCTGCTGGGACAAAAAAAAAACCCACTCAAGGGTCCCTGATTGTCCTATCTGCAGAGGAAGCATCACTCAGCATTTTCATATTTTCTTGTGGAGCAACAGTTGAGGTGAAATTAGTCATTGATCTTGCAAGTCTCAGAGTGACCATAGTTTACTAGAATTCTTAAGATAATCAACACCCTTGCTGTGGAGAAATCTGAGGCATCTTATTGATTTGTAATTCTAACCTTCAGTAGATCATTCAGATAATCACAGAAGACTTGGAATGCGCCATGGGAGCCATCTAATTCAACCCCCTCCTCAGTGAAAGATCCACTAGAGTATCTTTGACAGATAAACCTTCAGTTTCTGTTTGAAGATCTCCGGTGAAGGAGAAATCATTATGAGCCACGGTGGCACAGTGGTTAGAGTGCAGTACTGCAGGCTACTTCTGCTGACTGCCAGCTGCCTGCAATTTGGCAGTTCAAATCTCACCAGGCTCAAGGTTGACTCAGCCTTCCATCCTTCTGAGGTGGGTAAAAATGAGGACCCAAATTGTTGGGGGTCATAGGCTGACTCTGTAAACTGCTTAGAGAGGGCTGTAAAGCACTGTGAAGTGGTATAGAAGTCTAAGGGCTAAGTGCTATTGCTATCACATTACGTGCTGGCCTGATACACTGTCTACAACTTGTGCAATCTGGATGTTTTCCTGAAACAGAACCTGAAAGTCTTTCAGCCCATTGATTCTGGTCCTGCTCTCAAGAGCAGCGGCCCCCAGCCTTTTGGGTGCCAGGGACCGGTTCCAGGGACCGGAGGGTGGTTTTTCTGCAGGCTGGTTTTGTGTGGTTTTGCATGCTGCCTGGATCCCGCATGTGCACGGACAGGACTTCACTCACTTATGTGCAGTGGTGGGTTTCTACCGGTTCGCCCCGGTTCAGGAAAACCAGTAGCGGCGGTGGTGGGAGGCTCCACCCAGCCGTCATCATGGACGTTCTGCGCATGCGCAGAAGCATATGTGCAAGCAAAGTGAGCACACACGCTCACAGTTCTGAACTGGTAGCGAAGGTAAGTGAAACCCACAACTGCTTACGTGGCCTGGTTCCTGGTAGGCCGTGGGCCAGGGACCAGTGCAGGTCTGCAGACTGGGGGTTCAGGCCCCCTGCTCTAGATCAATGTGTGCCACCCTTCAGATATTTGAAGACTGCTATCACATTTCTCCTTAACGTTAGTGGATAATAAAATATGACTGAAATGACTACTTAGTTTATTTGCGACTCTTAAAAGAGAAACATCCTTTCAGTGATATTTATGGATCCCCATCACCAGATAAAATTGGGAAACTAATTAGTAAAAAGTAAAAAGCTGAGGTTGTACAGTATGCTATTACCTTATTCTGATGCACCAAAGGATGTTGGAAGTCAATGCTTTTCTTTTTTTTCTCCCCTTTACCCTACACTTTTTTCCTCTTCCCTTTGTCCTCCCCTATTGTCCCATTATTTTAATTTTTCTTTGTATCTCTGTATCTCATATTTTGATAAACTAATACAGATATGAACAATTGGGAAATTAAACTTGCTAAGATAGCCTCTCTCCACTGGTTCTTTTCAGACATGCTAGATCTACAGTGGTAGAATTTCCAGCGAATATCCCCTTCGGGAGATGCAGTCTTAAAATATTAGGAAACCCAAATGCTATAGAAGGCTTTGTAAAAATTTTCTAAGGAAGCACAGAAACCTTGAAACCTGCTAGAGCTGTCCATTAAAATTTCCAACGTATCACAATGCTCAGGATATTTTTAAGAGAAAACAAAAGGAATGGCAGCTCCCTTTCAGTGGCTTTAATATTTTTTACCAACAAATTGCCTATTATAGCAATTTAAGTTTAAAGCTGATGTAATATTGAAAAAGCCAATAAAATCTCCTGTACATGTCTATCTCCTGCCCTTCCTTGCACTGCCCCCCCCATCAGCTCCTTTTCTTCAAGGCTGAATAGCTGTTGCTATTGGATCAAAGCTGCAGAAAAGTGATTTGAGGAACAGACTACAAATAAATAACCCAGGACAACCAGCGTTATTTACTTGCAGTCAAATCACATTCCTGTCTCTTTTAATCTTCTTGTATAACCTTTCTCCTAAACCTTTGCATTGATGACAGTTTTATAAGGAAAAAAAATAGAGAGGGACAATTCTAAGAAACCGGGTAAGAAATAATGAGCCATCTGCTGTGCAGAGATCTTAAGAAAGCAACATCTATTGAAAAAAATATTTCTTCTGAGTGGGCCAAGCAAACCCCCCAAATCCTATGGTCATGCTCAAGTACTGACATATGAGGACATAGTAGCTAGGAATTTTGAAGAAAGGGAGAAGGATATCCAAAATCATTATTAGTGAAAGGAATTTATCTTCCTTCCTTCCTTCCTTCCTTCCTTCCTTCCTTCCTTCCTTCCTTCCTTCCTTCCTTCCCACCTTCCCACATATCTTTCACATTTTGAAACTGCTCAACTCTCTTACAGAGGGAGGATAACAGGTTTTGAGAGGATAGGACGACATTTTTTCCTGTTCATACCTTGGATTTTACTGGTTGCAACTGCAGAGAATAAGTCAAAGAGTAAGATTTTACAGCATCAGCCACATTGCCTCTTTAGTTAGACAAGAAATAGCCAATTTCTCCACCAGCACAGGCTGGGTAAAAGATAAAGGGAAGAAGAGCTTCCTTGCTATGGCAGGAAATATTCTCTTTCCATTTTTATTTTGTTGTCTGTTTTGTGAGCCCAGAAGCTCTTTTTTGAAATCCCAGAAAAATCAGAGTGATGGATGCATCATTGAGTGCATATGGAGAGAGTGTGGAGAAACAAATCATGTTTTCATTGATTGTATCAACTGGCTTTCAAAGGTTCAGGTAAACACCAACCTAAGTAGACTACAGAAGAAAACTCCTTTGGTTAAAGGCAAACAGCTTGAGAAAGTTTTCTTTTTCTGTTGCAGCTGGGGAAAAAATCTGGAATGGCGGTGGGAGTTTCATGCTTTTTGAACCTGCCTCTCTCTTCACTTTCCCTGTCTTTTAGTTATACATTGTTGATGATGTAGACATACCTAGATATTTGGGAGGTTTGAAAGCATACTTTAAAAAGTTTTTTTTCATATTTCATCAACAGGTTGGCATTTACTGAGCCTCAGAGGCTGCCTTCGGTATAATTCACCTGATATTTAGACTTTAGGTGTTCACAAGGGAACACCCAGGAAAGGGTCTCAGACACACTATTCCCTGCAAGGATTGTGCTTCAATCACTATCTACTCTCAAATTCATTTTTGCCACTCGATGCAATTGATTCACTTTTTTTGTGTGTGGTTGAATGTAAAATAACAGAAATATAAAATTTTGCATTTGCAACTTATGTAAAATAATAGAACTACAGAATTTTGTATGCAACTGTTTGTAAGTTTGTATGTAATGTAAATGTATAATGTAAATATTAATGTAAAATAACAGAAATACAAGACTTTGTATTTGCAAAGTTTCGTATTTGCAAAGTATTTGCAAAACTTTGTATTTGCAAAGTAACAGAAATACAGAACTTTGTATGCAACTATTTGTAACCTTGTATGTAAAGTAAATGTGCACTATAAATATTAATGAAAAATAATAGAAATACAGAACTTTGCATACAGGAGAGTTCAATGTTTCTCCTCTTGTTTTACATTCAACCATAAAAAGGGTGAATTGATGATATGAACCAATCATTTAGATATTTTAAGTGGATCAAATGGTATATTATACTAACTGACAAGCAAAAATTCCCCTAGCATAATAGTGTGTATAGAACAATTTAATGTATCTTGAATATTTTTGGCTAAAATTGAGTGTAGTACCAAGTGTATCACGGATGCTTGACTCAACTTTGCATATTTTAGCTTTCATCAGTACCTCATTGGAACCTAATACTTTGAAACAATGATTAGGTTCCTTCTACTTTATGTTTTGTAATGGTGGAGGTTATCCTGTGCATTACTTGCTGTGATTCATTGCTTTGATTTTGGGAGAGTTGTTTAGTTTTGCTGTCTTGATTAATTTCTGCTTTCAGTTCTTTGCGATTGAAACTATCTTTGGTTGGTTCAGAAAGTACACCGATGTTTTGGAAATAGTAAGTTGTGAGAGACATAAGAGCAAAATTTGGGGATGAGGTAGGGATCTCTATTTTATACTCTTTGGAGGTTTTAGAATTTCAATGTCCAAAACCTTCAACCAATATACAGCACAAATGGCCATTTTGCAGGCTCTGGTTTGGCAAAAGCTGATCTGTAGACACAATACATGCTTGTACACATGCACACACACACAAACACGCAACACAGAGTTATAGAAACAGAATCATTACGGGCTAGATTATTAGATCATGGCATATATCATAATTACCTAACCTACTCTAGTAAAAAAATATTACAGAATGTATATATCTTTCAAAGGTCTGACATTTTCTTCTCCTGCCTCTATAGCCAAGAACTAAAGTGATTTATTTGAAAATGCCTTACATGTGGATTGTAGAAATCTATAAATCAAACTGCTTAGCAGAGGGCATTTTTTCATACCTCCTGTATCTAGAGAGTATTCATACTGATATTGTTGTGCTATTACCCTTAGCAGTAGCTTCTATGGGCAGTAATAATAGCAGCACATCTCCTTAGTTGCCACTTCAACTAAAACCTATATCTCTTGAACAATTAAAACAAAACCAAAATCTCCTGTTGAACTGATCCCTTCTAGCTATCTGAATGCAAGCTTAATGTGTGTGCCCTAGAAGAGGGCGTGGTGGCTCAGCAGACTAAAAGCATTGTGATTAATACCAGCTGTCTGCAATTACTGTAAGTTCGAATCTCACCAGGCTCAAGGTTGACTCAGCCTTCCATCCTTTCTAAGGTAGGTAAAATGAGGACCCAGTTTGTGGGGGCAATTTTTTTTTTTTAATTTGATTTATATGCCGCCCTTCTCCGGAGACTCAGGGCGGCTTACAGTGCGTTAAGCAATAGCCTTCATACTTTTGTATATTTATACAAAGTCAGCTTATTGCCCCCACAAACTGGGTCCTCAATTTACCTACCTTAGAAAGGATGGAAGGCTGAGCCAACCTTGAGCCTGGCAAGATTCGATCTTACTTTAATTGCAGACAGCTGGTGTTAAATTACAGTGCTCTGTCTGTTGAGCTATCCAGGCTCTAATAAGCTGACTTTGTATAAATATACAAAAGTATGAAGGCTATTGCTTAACGCATTGTAAGACGCCCTGAGTCTCCGGAGAAGGGCGGCATATAAATCAAATTTAAAATTAAAAAAAAATAAAAAAAATAAAATATTATCAAGCACTATAAACATCATAATTCTTTAACAAGACAAAACCTATTTAGATTTTGGGCCTGAAGCTGTCTGGAATAGAATTTCTCAATTTTATCACCCATTTTGCACATGTGTTTATTTCTCTGGTAGCATTCACTCTACTAAAACGATTAGTGTCCCTAAGGTGATTACAGGGAAATTGCTGGAGTGTCCACCACAGCAATAAATACTCACTGTTTACGGTACCTGCTAGTGCATTAATATTATTCAATCCAACCGTTGCTCCAGCTAGTCCTTGTAGAGTCCCCAGAGAAGTCAAAGAATTCATTGCTGCCCCAGCTGTGGAATTTGCTGTTGATGCAGCCACTAGAATAAAAGAAGGAAAAAGAAAAGAAAATAATTTACTCCTAGAATACCATAAACCGGGGGTGTCCAACCTTGGCAACTTTAAGACTTGTGGACTTCAACTCCCAGAATTCCTCAGCTACCATGTCAACATGGTTGACTGGGGAATTCTGGGAACTGAAGTCCACAAGTCTTAAAGTTGTCAAGGTTGGACATCCCTGTCATAAACATTATGGAAAGCTAGTGAGTCCTTTGGCCATAAATTCATGACCTCTCATAATAATACTTAGATGAGAAAAACCTTTAAAGTATGGTTCCTCTCATTGGTTTATCCATACAGTTGAATGTCCATTGCTTAAAGTACATATTCTGCTGAAAAGTTTAATAAGAGATAGAAAACCAGAGCCCTACATTACGGTTTGATTCATGTGCTGAACTCAGATTTAGTGCCGCTTGTTTGTTTACAGTTTAGGCTGATTTGTAGCCTTTCTTGTTTATTCAACAAACTGTGGTTGGAAATTCTGGTTTGGAATTGTTTCGATCTCTCCATTTCAGCTGCATGCATATATAAAAATGGTATGTTATGAATAAAGCATAAACCATTGTAGGATATATGTTTCAGAGGAGATTGTTTTGATATGGAAATGGCAAACGCTACATTCATCAGTTCTCAGATTATCTGGCTTATGAAAACCTATTTGATATCGAAGGAAAAATTACAAATTGCCTTCCACAGTTTCCCCCTACAGCAAAATGAAATTGATACGATAAGTTGGTGTTTCTGAATTGAATAAATTCACACAAGACCTTAATAAAGAGCGGGTAGTTGCCCCTCATTTTTGGAAAATTACATGAACTGACATTGTTACACTGTTAGGCAGCTTTTCTTGATGTTCCATTGCTGTTTAGTCTAATTGTTAGAAAAGATGAAATATCTAACATTCACGAATCCAGGGGCTTTGCTTTCAGGAATTATAACTTGACAGTACTTTGTCTTGGTAAAAGCAAATTGATCGTTCCTCTCTTTTGTGCTGGGAATATTATCCTTGTGTTATCAGTCTGAACATCAATAGTTAAGAAGAATAGCATTCAGAAAGCTAGTTAGTATTGAAGGGAGGAGTGAATAATGCCTATATGATTTGTGAACATTAAAGAATACAGCTGCAAGCTAAAAACTAGATAGACCCCCTTCCCTCCCTCCAGTCTTAGCCTTTGGTACACAGAGATTCGGAGTTAGATCTGTAAGTCCATGACCAGACTTCAAAGCTCTTCAAATCCTGGTTGGCCCACCAGTGATTAAAAATAACAAGATCCTGCTTTTGAAAGGTAATTTACTGCCCTTGCGGCTCACTACAGATTCAAGGGGAAAAAAGGGAACTCTGGAGAGATGTAAATAGGATTAAGTCCCTTCCCTGAAGCCACAACCTCACTCTAGTCCTGCACAAATAAGTATCTGCTAGATTGGGAGTCATTTTCCAGGCTGGTTGTGTCAGCTTGGAAGGAATAAGGATAAGAAAAGATGCTTTTTTGTGATTGCTAGACATCTGTGACAGGTCATTCAAATAAAAATAGAGAAGGAAAAAGAGGTATATAAAAAAAGCCATCTAATCACTTCAGCCGTATCTGATGGAATGGCTAACAGAATGAGAATCATCTACCACAACAGAATAACGGAGTTAGAAAGGGCCCTTGAAGGTCTTCTAGTCCAACCCTCTGCTCAAGCAGGAAACCCTGTACCATTTCAGACAAATAGTTGTCCAATCTCTTCTTAAAATCCTCCAATGTTGGAGCATTCACAACTTCTGGAGGCAAGTTGTTCCACTGATTAATTGTTCTAACTGTCAGGAAATTTCTCCTTAGTTCTAGGTTGCTTCTCTCCTTGATTCGTTTCCATCCATTGCTTCTTATCCTGCCTTCAGGTGCTTTGGAGAACAAGTTGACCCCCTCTTCTTTGTGGCAGCCCCTGAGATAGTGAAAGACTGCTATAATTTTGATTAGTTGGCTTTTCTCACCACCTGATTAAAAATTAATTCCGCCTGTCAATTTGCACATTAAGGGAGAAGGTGTTTTCTTCACCTACATTTAGCCGGGTCATTTGACATAATGTAAAGAAAGTGTTACTGACCTGATCAGGCCATCCAATTCTAGGCTAACAAACTTTAAATAACAAATGGTTCTATTCCGTGGTTGAGATTTTTTAAAGCACTACGCTAATTAGTATTTGATGGATTAGATCTCCAGGCCCACCTAACTAGCATGGAGTTCTATTCCTGGAAACCCACCAATTGAACAAACCATGAGCCTGACCGGTGACTGCAATGAGCCACTTAATATTAAAACTCCTTCAGGTGAGCAGTTTTATTAAGCATTAAATTAATTCTGACTGCTCAGGACTCACAGGCTGCTCCTGGTCACTGCCTCTTGTAAATGACTGAGGAGTACATGGTAGCAGGCCCACCCTCTTGTGCTGCCAAGCTGAAAGCAGGACTTGATAACTCCATGATTAAAAATGATTGAACCAAACTGGTAGCTGTGAAGTGAATTCCGTGTGTAATGGGTGCCAGCAACTGTCTTTCGGGGCTAAATGTCCACATAAAAGCAAAAAAAAAAAAAAAAGAAAAAGGAAAGAATATCATATTGATGTGAAATGGGCATGAGATGGACTTCTGATATGGTTGAGCTGAAGAGTCTTCAGATCACTTAAACAAGCTCTTGCCTCCACCCTTCGATATGTAGTATTAAGAAATCCACAAAAGATTATATTTTTTCCAGTTACTGGTTAAAACAGCATGTTTGAAAACGGCATATTGTTACACTAGAGATGATAGTTTTCTTGTCTATCTCATCCACATTCTCCCAGTTTCTTTTATTTATTTATTTATTTTGTCGAGTACGTATTAGGTAATATATATATAAGTATAAGCATGAATTGAATACATAAAATGAATACAATTAAAGTGGACATTAGGACAGGGACGGTAGGCATGCTGGTGCTCTTATGCACGCCCCTTATAGACCTCTTAGGAATGGGGTGAGGTCAACAGTAGACAGTCTAAGGTTAACATTTTGAGGGATTTGGGAAACCACAGAGTCAGATAGTGCATTCCAGGCATTGATCACTCTGTTGCTGAAGTTGTATTTTCTGCAATTGAGTTTGGAGCGATTTACCTTGTGTTTGTATCTATTATTTGCTCGTGTATTGTTGTGGTTGAAGCTGAAGTAGTCATTGACAGGTAGGACATTGTAGCAGATGATTTTATGAGCTATGCTTAGGTCATACTGAAGGCGGCATAGTTCTATATTTTCTAAGCCCAAAATTTCAAGTCTGGTGGCATAAGGTAATATTATTCTTGCTCTCTAAACCTAGATATTTAATTTCCCTGGACAATATCACTATTAATGGAAGAGAATAAACATAGCTCAGGGATGAACTGTGGAGTCCTTGGTACTCTCTGAGCTTAGTTTCAATAAATTCATTATCACTAGTTAGTTTCACTATCACTAAGTGTTGTATCTTATGATTTATGAAGAATGTATTTTTATGATGACTATGATCATGATTTATCACTTATAGCTTTTATGTACAATGAGAACTTATGCACCAAAGACAAATTCCTTGTGTGTCCAATCACACTTGGCCAATAAAGAATTCAGTTCAGTTCAGTTCAGTTCAGTTCAGTTCAGTTCAGTTCTGTTCGTTTGCTTGCAGGCGGTTTCATGAAGCACTGAAGATTTTTATTTATTTATTTATTTGTCAAGCATGTATGAGAAAATAAGTATAAACATAACATATAAACATATAAGTATAAACAGGTATAATGTTACCAACTCTGGTAATGAAACGTCTGCAAGCAAACAAACAAAGCTCAGAGAGCATCAAGGACTTTACAATATCACTACTATCTCATAGGTGGACAAATTGTTGGATGTTTGGCATTGATGTGCATTGTAACAGGAAGAAAATAAATATGGGAAAGATTTTACATACAATAACTCATTGTAAGGCCTCCTATTTTGCTGGTTACTTTTATTTTCATAGTTAATTCAACAGAAAGACATAGGGCCCAGGATGGATCAAAGATACCACCTTGCAAGATTAATTCTAGATTAAAAAAATCGTACCTTGCATCGTACCTAATGTCAGCAGGCTTGGGGTAAAACTGGGCATTGGATGAGCTGGTGTCATAATGGCTAAGAGGTGTCCATTTAGATCTATACTGACTTTTATTGTTACTAACAAATACTGCATATGGCACAGGTAAAGCAGTTAACCTATGCTAGTGAAAACTGTCATAGGAAGATTGCAACTGTTTTAAAAAAAGCCTCACTATATAAAGAAAAGGAGAAAAGGAGAGAAAAGAAGAAAAAAGGAAAAAAAAACACGTACACAGAAAGTCATTCAGCCATTTTTTAAAAATGCACCTTCACTCTTCCCCTCACACTAATAGACAGCTGGTTTTTCAATGAACATATTATTGATCTAAGATTTTAATCCTGGTGACATGCTCTCTTAACAATATCAAAGAGTAATCTTTTTTGCTGCACTGTGTTCAGTTAATCCGTAGTCTTTCATATGATAAATTTCCAAATCCCTGGTATATAACTCAGAAGTACCTTCACAGCTTTAAATGGCATTGATTTTTTTTGTAATGCTATATGGATAAATTTATGGAAACCAACCCAAAACAGAGTAACAGCGGGTCACATCCATATCATACTAGTAAATATCCCCTTATTCATTTCACGGATTTTGGTCTCTTCCCCTCACAATACCATAATACCAAACTGACCTTGGAGCAGAAGAATCACTGAAGAACAGTGGCCCCAATTAAAATCCTCCTAAACTGGTCCAGTAAGATACCATGTTAAGTGTATCAAAAGCTGCTGAGATATCAAGGAGGCCTAGGATAGAGCACTCCTCTGCTAATAACAGAATACCTTATGCCACCAGGCTTGAAATTTTGGGCTTGGACAACCTAGAACTATGCCACCTACGGTCTAACCTAAGCGTAGTACACAAA